TTTGTAACTATCTGAAACACAGAAAGAAATAGAAGGTGAAACTTACACAGGGAAAAGGATGATAAAAGGCAGAGAAGCCAGAAAAAAAGAGAAGAAAAGAGAGAAACAAAACCGAAGAGATGATTTATTATAGTGCAAAGGAAAGCTGAGTCTTGTTGAGGACTTAATTTTATTTCCTTCATGCAAAAACATCAAGAGAAGCAGCAGCAGCAGGTGGCAAACATGCAAGTCAGAAAGCAGCAGAACTCTTTGCTGGAAAGGAAAAGATGAAGCCCTGAGTGCACCGAGCTGCTAGTGCCAGGCTTGAAGCATAATCAGTTGTCTGGGTGCTACTTACTATCACAAACATAGGGTTTGTCATGATCATCCTGGGAGGCAGCATCATTCCGTCTCCTGCCACCTCCAGATCCCCGAGCCTGCAAGGACAAGAAGAATGTTAACATTATCCCACTGCCCCTCGGGGCTCTTGGTGCCCTTCACCCTCTATGAAAAATGTCCAATATAGACTAAACAAATCCTCAGCTTCCACACAAGTATGCCAGGAGGGGGCTTGGCCCTTCATCTCCTAAGATATGCACTATGTTAATGGACCTTGCAATGCAGCAGAGATCCCCTCCAGAGATAAACCACACTGTTCATCCATAGCAGTAGGTCACTGCCAGAACACATTCAGTAGAAGTATCATCACACATTCATTTCTGAAGATGATCAAACACTTTTATTACTGAATATGAATGAATGAACAGGTGGCAGAGGATACATATAGCCTTAAATCATCCAGGTCCCAAGCAGAATAGATTTAAAATTGTTTGCTTTAATACTTCTAAAGGGAGGGTTGCTTTTTATTTTGGGGTTTTGTTTTGCTTTCTAGCTAAAAAGCAAGGTTTTGAAATGGCCTTCTGGTAGGGACAAAGATAACGTCTTACAGAGCGGAGCTTTGGTGAGTTAGTGAAAAAGGTAACATTGCTACCTGCAATAGTGGAGAACTGGAATTATGCAGAAAGGTTCCTTTATAATTTATTGTTCCTAAAGGATACTGGCTTGACAGCCCTGGAACTAAAATCCTCTGCTTGTCCATAGTGCACTCTGCTCTGTGCTGAACTTCAGGGATAAGAGTGAAATTCAGCACCAAAGCCCCTTGGTTCTGACCCTACTCAGCTGAGGTGACAATAAGGGGACATTGGTACCAATCTAACAGCAGACGCTGTGATGTGTGTCAGGGAACCGAGCACAGGCCTTCAGCTATTTCACCATAGTTAACGCACAGTCTGTAGATGACAGTAATTCTGGACTACATCTTCACTTCAGCAAGTGATCTGCAACTGGATGGCTAGGGAGCCCTTTAGTAATTCTGCAAGTTACGCTGATCCCAGGCAAAAGTAACCAAACTGTTTCTGCTGTTTTTGTTAATAAATTGTTGATGCCTCTCCCTAAAGAAGAGTCAAGTCCTTTCAGCTTTTATATGTGAAAATAAGAAAGGGACAGAGCTTCATCAAGTAAGGCCAGAAAAGATGCAGCAATTCCGAGAATATTAGTGCTCCAGATACAAACGGGTCATATAAGCTCTATCTCCCTTCTGTGGATGTGGCACTGCACTAGCACTATTTGAGTTGCATTCCCTCATATATCTAAAGTGAAGGAACAAGAAACAGTTTTACACTGAGTCTGTCAAAATAGAAATTTATAGGAACCTCACATATTATTTCCCTGGGATTGCTCAGGTCTAGCTCTTATCACATCCCAAAGGAAAGACATGGATCTGCCACTGTCTGGTTGGAGTAAATACTATTAGGTATCCGCAATGAGCTCAGCGCAGATCAGCACATACATCCAAAGTGAGATTTGTAAGGGTGAACCAAAAAGCAGTTTCACACTGGAAAAGGACCCAGCAACAACTGCTTGGTGGAAGCCACATTACTGACTGTATCTCGTAAAATCAGCCTACTAGGCTGCAATATCTTCTGACTGTCAGCTCTGTAAATCCACTCTGGGCTGTGAGATCAATCCTGGGCTAGTTCCTTTCTTCCCTCATTACTGCAAAATGTTCTGCAAGCCAAATATAGGTCCCTGGCTGCTCCTGTGCTCAGCTCATCAAAGATTCTTCACAGAAACAAGTGATCGGCCCTTCATAAATATTTCTATCAGTGCCAGGACTAGGATCCAATTTCCCTATTCTATCAAGCTGCACTGGCTCTTCAGAGTTGTAAAAAAAAAGCTGCAAAATCTTTATTTTTGTCACTAATCAGGAGTTCTGACTCTGCTTACACACTGAAAACAGATCTGCTCAGTATGAAGGTACTATTTTTATATAGACAGTTTTCAGAATAGGATGGTAATTTAAGGTCTGTTGCTCGGAGTTTCGCTAGTCTTACAGCCAGCTGTTTCTCTTCAAACTGTTCTCTACAGAAAAGCAAGGGTACTGTATTCATGTCATGACCACACGTCAAATATATTTTTTCATGCACTGAACACAGAGGAGGAGATTTTTCAAGTCAGTGACTCTCAATGGGAGTTGGGTTCCTAAATGTCTTTAGTGCCTTTGAAAATGTCCCATGGGGTATTCAGCTGACGAGCACACAGTCTGTACAGGTGCAGCTGCATTCCTCTCCTACCTCCTAGCAAACTGGCTCTTCGAGCTCCTAGCATATTTTCCCTGTCCAGCAAAGATACAGAAAAGCTGCTTTTGTAAATCCATCACTCTGGCCTTCAGTGTCCTTCCTAATGCTCCCATGAATCCAGGGCCATCCTTGACGGGGTAGCAGACTGAGCAGCTGTCCCAAAGGCGCTAAGCGGAAGGCCACTCACTGGCTGCTGCACTCCAGCCTGCCCTATTCAGTCATCCACGGCTGCTTCATTCTCCTCATGAGATGCAGCAAAGACTGAAACCTGATGTATGACACCTGGAAGCCATGGCCCTGCAGCCTTGGAGCAGGACTGAAGCAGCCAGAGAGAGTAGCCAGAGGGGCAGACAGAGAAGCCCAGGATTATAAATAAAATCATGCTGTAGGAAAAGGAAGGGGCATGTGAAATTTGGAATGCCAAGACAGCAATTCTGTTGTACTAATCCAGCATCAATGCTGTCAATCCTCCTCATTCATTCTGCAAATCCCCAGAGGCCACACTCCACAGGATCTACTTTCCTATGCATGTTCTTCCCCTTTACTATTCCCTAAAAACATCCTGAGCAATTCCTTCCCAGAAACAAGGTGCTCCCCTGGTTTCACATCCCCTCATTTCAAATCCTGGGCCCTGATCCCCACTCTTGAGTCAGACTCAGACAACGGGTGCTTGAAAAGTGGCAAAATACTCATGACCAGAAGCAATTCAGGCTCTGATTCAGTTTTCAGCAGCTAAGGAATCTGGCCTGATTTTGAAATTCTAATTTATACCACATTTCACTTTAGTTATTGATGTCACCAAATAAAAAGGAAAATTGTTCAAAGTACTTGGCACTCTTCAAACTTCTCTTTTTATTAGACCCCGTGGAGCCAGGGCACTAGCAGAGCAGGAGTTAGTTGCAAGAAAAAGGCAAGAGATGCTGCTGGTCCTGTATTTAATAGATGGTCGGTCTAGGGCAGAAAACATCACATAAATTTGTACTTCTAAATGAATGGGACCCCTAGAACTCTCCAACTTCTTTCTTTACAGTAGCAGAGGAAGAGCAATAGTTACTCTAAAGTAGTAGTTTCCTGAATAGGAGAGTACAATTTTGCACTTAACAGTAAGTTCAAGACTTTGTTTATATAGCCCTGGAATATACAATAGAGCTAATTTCCTTCTTCTAAGTAGCATATTCCTATTTGCTATTCACTCTTTCACTCACTCTGACCAACATGCCCAATTTATGTGAGAGCAACTTATCAGAAAAGAGATGTCAAGCTGGAATATTAGTTGATAGCTACAGTCACGTTTGTGTGCATGTATCAATTCTAACTCCTAGTTTTGGTTACTGGTTCATACAAACTTTCTGAAACTTACATTTTTCTGGAAAATTTTTTTCCAGGTGGGGGTCTTTGGCTAAGAAAGAAAGAAAGAAAGAAACTGGTTCAGGTGATTTTGAGAATAAGGAAGGTGAAATATATACTTATCCAGTTATTAAAGTGCTTTGATCTTATATTAAAGGACTTAAGCTCCAAAATAAACAGGAGCAGAAAACTGAAACAACACAACAACAGAAGAAACCAAAAGAGAAGGTCTGATGCATAAGCACATTGCGAGTATTCAGTGTGGTTTCATGTCTCTCTCTTATTCAAAAGCGATTATATCCTGCTCATTTGGCCTCCTACGTGGCCCTTCTTGATTGACTCCTACAAACATCAAAAGGCACCTCTGGAGCTCCTGTACCCCTGCAGTGCCCACTGGAGCCAAAGAGAGAAGAAAATGCTCAAAACTTTGAGAATTATGTTCACTTCTATTTAGATGCCTCGCTTAAGGTGCCACAATGGAAAATGTCAATTCCAAGTTTTAAAACGTTGGCCTCCTTATTTAGCTGGCTCCCTGCTGAAACTGGGAGAAGACATCCTAGGTAAGAGATGGGATTGGGGCTCCCTTAAGGATAAGCTCTTGCCCACTTTAATCAAATGGGAAATTGTTCATGGGCTTCAAGAGGGCCAAAGTGACAACCACAACATGCTACCTTGGGGGAAGTTGCAAAAGGTATTAACACAGTTCAAGTTACCTTCATTAATAATTTTTAGTTTGACTCATGTCTAAATTTACTGTTTACTTTTTGTAATTAGCAAATGTTGTTTCAAAGTAAGAGTATTGTAATAGCAGGATGCCATCATAACTATTACAGTTTGCATTAAAATTATAAACACATCACTAAAATAAATTTACTCTTTCACTCTAACAATAATCTTTTTTTCTTGGTAAGTAGAAAGAAACAAACTGGAAAAAGCAGAAAAGCAGAAAAACAAACTGGAAAAAAAACTATAAACAATGTTTAAGTGTACATTAAAATTACCCAAAGGGTTATCATCATCATACACCCACAGATATATTCTTTGCATTACACAGATAGATTCTTTGCATTACACATACACATGAAAAATATACACTAGAAAGCAGACGTTTGCTTTCCTTCCTGTCCATTCCTGTACAATATTCACCTACCCGTCCTCTAGGCCTGTTCTTTCGTTTTGGAATATCTTCTTCCAAGTCCTCTTCCTCATTCACTTCATCTGCATTTTCATCATTCTCTAAAACCCTCTGTGGTTGAACAATAAACATGAATGTTCAGAAGAAAAGAACATCACACACACAACCAACTGCTACTCTTTACCACAGAGACTATAGGTTATTAAATTACAGTTGATTAATGATATAATGCCAAAACAGATCCCAGAATCCCTTTTTCTTTGCTTTTAAAGCAAAGTTTGCTTTCCCTTCTACCCTCAGTTCTCCAGGGATTTCTTATTAAGAAATATCACTGCTATCAGATAACTAAGGAAAAAAGTTCCTAAGAAATATCTTTGGGGCATCACTGAGCACTGATGCACCAGGACATTACAGGTATTTGAATTACAGTCTGCATGAATTCCCTCATTCGGGAAGCACGGGTTTTGCATGATCTTGGATTTGGTTTCTCGCATCTTAAATTGTTTACTTTTCCTCTAATGTTGTGAATGCACTTTAAGAAGACAGAAATGAGGAATTTTTTCAGTTGGCAGCTCAGAATTTTCTTGGTTTAGAAAAAAAATAGTGACAATGCCTCCATAGATTCTACTATTTTTATTGAATCTAGACAGTAACGTCTTTTGGGAGGTTACACCATACACACATCTGTGCAAGCTGAAAGAAGCGCTCTTGGTGCATGAGAGCACTGAGGAAGTTCAGGTCTTTCTGAAGTTAGTAGGAACAATAAAAGTTTCTTCAATTAATTAGTGAATAGGAATAAAAATGGAAATAATAACAATTTATCATCTCACGGGGAATTTCAACCTTTTCATCTTGATCTTACAAATGTAACCTCTTGAGAATGAAACAAAGGCTAGCAGCCGGGCAAACAGGCATAAATCAGATACAACATGGACAAAGGCAGGTCCAACCAGCACACCACTAATGCAGAAAGGAGTCTCCTGGAGCTCCCCTGAATGCTTGGCAGTGCTGCTGGAAATATAGAGCAGGGCCCCAGTCTCTCCTGCCACTCATGAAGTGAGCAGAACTTCCTAAGTGTCTGGTCTGCAAACCCTTTCGCTATGTCACCAGGCATTTAAATGACAACAACATTCAGCCATGATGCAGATTCAAATCTTAAAATGGATAGGAAGGTTCTAAATCTTTTTCAGTATTTGACGCTTGTATATAATTTCTCTTATATTCCAAGTCTGTCTTATAAACAATTTCCGGGCTCAATACACTTCAGTACAGCTAGGCACCAAGTCTTCTCCTCCTGACACACACAGCTAGGTTAGATGGTGGTACAGGGCTGGCACTGAGGTGGGAATCACAGCTATGCCTATTCCACCTGCTCACTCTTGTCCCCACTGAATCTGGGCCCTTTCAAGATATGATGTAGAAGAGCATGCAAGGGACCAAAAGAGAGATTTGCATTCTCTTATTCATCATAAGGACAAAAGTCCCTTCACAAGGGACCCTTGAAGGGTCCCTTGTCCTGGTGCCCTTCATCAGGTACCAAAGTGTCTGTTGAAAGCTGGACACTAGAAAAGCTTCAGCAATCACTGTTGTGCAGACTGCATACAGCTAAGCTGTGCTTGCATAAGAAATAGCAGCAAGACATGCCTTTTGTGGCTGTTCTGATGAAAACAACGTCAACATGACAGGTCACAGCTGAGGCAGTTTAGCTGAAGACTCTCTAAACATTGTTTTACCCCTTCCCTGCTCTGGATTGCAAAAGTGCCAAGACCTCTGTCAATTCCACTGCGTCTGAAGTCTCTTTCTCGGACTGTTGCTGGAATAGTCTGGGAGCTCAGATTGCGTAGCAGCATCCAAAGGCACTTGTCCATCCCATAAAGATGCTGCACCCTGACTTCTTGTGACTCTGCAAGCAGGTATAAACAAATCCACTAATGAAGAAGGAAACATAACGAGGGTCTCACACAGAGCCCGTGAACACGAGATGTTCCCTCTTCAACAGCGCTCCTTTACCTGTATTGCTGGGAACTGGAGACCCATCTGGTTGCCTTTACATATGTGAAATTTCCGTGGAGCATTAGCAGTCAGACAAATAGGACTGAGCCCCAAGTAATGCAGATTTGGTTCTCCAGCTTTTTTGTGTCATTTGGCATGAGGCTGAGGCTGCCCACTCACGTTTTCGTTAGTTTCAAGTATAGATGCAGCATCTTGTATCTCAGCCAAAATCACTAAGTTTTACACATTGCCAATGGGTCTCACTAGAAAGCACTGATAGACACTCAGAGCAGCATGGTGTTTTAGCATCACCAAAGATTTGCTGATGCTGCCCTGAGATAGCGCTGCTTTTCTATAAATTTTAAATGTCTTTATAAAAAAGTGGCATACAAGCAATATCCTTTAATTAGTATTATTCTTTCTATGACAGCCCCATGACTGTGTTTCCACTTTTAAAATTGGGAAAAGATGAAAAGGAATCTTCACAAGCAATTTTCAAAGCTGTAATGCTAAGAAAGAGACTATTTCTCTTAACTGTATCGCTAGTAACACCTACGAAAATTAACAGTAAAATACTTTTAATGATTTGTGTTGTCTGTTTACTTCTCAAAGGTCTTTCAGTATACCTAAGGAAGAACAGTCAAGGCAATGATATGCTTTTGTTTACAATCAGCAGAGTGAACCCATCTTCAAATCCATGTCCAGACTCTCTGTAAACCTGAGGCACTAAAATTCAGTTTACTGTTTGGGTGCATCTTTGCTTGTCAGCTTTATATGTATTAACCTCATCTTGCTCCAGATCACAATATGCAAGCCACACAGAAGACAAATGACCCAGAATCTAGTGAAAGAGAAAAGCTATACAAAGTATGCAGGTGTGCAGATCCTGAGTTCATAACATTCTGACAGCAGAATGATACAACTATCAGATGCAATGTTCTGCCACAAGACAAAATCTGCTAGGCTTAGAAACAAAGTGTTAAGTGTTCCCTGCTGCCAGTGCTTGGGCACCTCCTTTACCTGGATTTCCTGTATAGTGTCTTCTTCTTTAGTGTCCGTTTTTTTCTCTATTCCCTCTCCACGCAGTAAGGCTTCCAGAGTTGTACCTTCTGATGTGAAGCCATCTTTTTTCAGAGGCAGATCAACTTCTGCAAAACAAAATACACAAGCATCATGTACCTCCCTCAGACAGCTACCCAGCAGGACACAGACAGCAAGCAGAAGACTGACAGACTTCCAGGCTCACTTTTATTATGAGGATGAATTCTTCAGGTTCAACTTTTCCTCCAAGGTCCCCTCATAGGATTCATTTCTATCTCACTGAAAAACTGGCACCTTTTCAGTCCCTGAGTATGCTTACAGGAAAAAGAGGCTGGACATACTGTACCATGACGGAATAAAAGGAAAAAAGGTCCTTCCCCTTTATGTAAACTCCTCATGTTTCAAATAAAGAAAAAATAAATAAATAAATAAATAAATAACACCAAGGCTTTCTAAGATAATGAAATAGCAAATATGAAGATCTGGTCTTCTGAAGCAGTGAACTAGATTAATTACACACATCTGCATTTGGCACAGTATATATGGCACAGCTACAAGCATCATTTTCCTACATCAGGGCATGTTCCATAAGTGGGGAAATGGAAAGCTCGTATAAGCTAGTATAAGGGGCAATGCTAAGAACTACAAATGAAAAACACAAAAGGAATGTGTCTTCAATCCTCACTGAATATTGACACACATTTTTGACTGGATAAGATGCTCGGTTTGTTTTAAATGGGACTACCCAAATGAAAAAACATCAGTCAGCAGAGTTAAGAGTTGCATAATCAAGCCTACAAAACAGGTTGAACCTCAGCCACTGCAGAAGTACCAAAGGCAGTGAGCTCCGGGGCAGGCCTGGGGCGCACAGCTCCAAAGGAAAATGAGGGTTTGTGAAGAGCTTGATGCAACTTGCCAGTCAGATGCAGGAGCAGAGCACAACTCTCCTTCTGAATGCCAGCACAAGAGCATGAGATGCAGCACAGCACCAGCCCTTGTTTTAGCGAGGTGTGAAATACACCCAGGGAAGAACTTCGTCTCCCTCACCTCTTCCCTGCTTGTGCAGGTGTTCGTTCACAGTAACCCTGACACAGGGAGACATCCTGAATGTCACTCGAACTTATGAGGCCAAGGCATGGCTTTCAATGCTTAAGAAATCCTTCCCTTCTAAAACAAATTCCTTCCACCAGATTTATACAATAATAACGCACAGGACCAATGCTTACAAATCAGCCTCTGGTGTTCTGAGCTCGAAACTCTGCTCACTTCTAGAGCTGTGCTCTGTTTACCAGCCTGTGTGAAGCTCCCTGAAGCTTTCCATCCCACAAGCTGCACACACTCAGTTGTGTCCCAGGAATACATCTATTCTATATGTGAGAAACTCTGAGAGAGCCACTAGTTTGAGGGCCCTCATGAGTGCTTCCACAACATGCTTGCTCAAGTCTTCTAAAGTGGGAGAGCAGAACTCAGCCAGTAACCACAGAAAATCCAGCAAAAAAAATCCAGCAAAAGCCATTCTATTCACAAGCCATGCAGCAAGCCCAAACCACTGGGATTTTCAAAGGAAACTCCCAGGTCAATCCACACAATGGGAAGGAGTCAACAGTGAATTGACCCCCCTGCTCATCCCAAGCAGTTCTATTCAATTAGGCCTCTGGTTCTGGCATTGAGTTCTGAACATTATGCCACCTTCCCCATTTCTCCCTTACTCGAGCTGTAAAAAGACAGAGGAGTCAAAAGTGAACCATATAGCTTGAAATTCCCTGTATGAACTCATAGTGCCTCTCTCTGGGTACTAAATCCAGACATTTCAATACAAAGAAGGGATTTTAGATTTGATTTACGTGCAAATCACAACACTTAAGCCTATAGTTACTAAGGAACCTCCATAATCAACTCTGACTGCGGGCTTGGCTTGGTGTCAAAGCCCTCTGTGTGGGTGCCCAAGTACATTTGTTCAGTATTTGGAACATTGGGGGACTGCAAAACCCAGGAGGTTGCCAGACATCGGGCGAGAGGAGAAGCTCCAAGGAAGCTCAAGGCCAACAGTAACAAAAACACGGCCTCACCATGACAAGCTGTGCCAGTCTCTGGATACGGATACATTCAGCAAACAAATGTATTAGAAAAGGGAAGGAGCAAACAAAGTGGGTTAAGAGAAATTCATATGAAAATAAAATACTTCTTGCTTGTTCTATAGATATTGAACATTAAGTCAGGGGAAAAGATAGGCCTTAAGGTCAGAAAAGGTCAGATGTCTTTAAAAACATGTTTGTTCTGTGTGGTCTTGCTACTCCCCACTAGCAACACTCCAGGAGACGTTGCATCTCCAACTCTTGGAGAATTTTCTAATTATTAAACTTCACACACCACTGTCAGGCCAGTGCAAGGTAGATAACACTTTTATTTCCAGTTTACTGACAGGGAGACTGAGACACTAAGAAGTTAAATTAACGAGCAGGAGATGATGGGAACAGAAATTCATGGCAGCTGCCTCCCATCTGCCACTGAACTAACTGCTATCAAATTCCTGTGTTTCCTTCTCCTCTGGTACCTTATAGAGGCCATTTACTTTCCCGAGCAAGTAGGTGTAGAGAGTAGAAAATGGCAAGCACCACCTTATTTGCAATGTAGAGTTTACAATATAAAACTTGCAAAGGTCCAAAGATAACCTCTTTGTAATGAATTCAGTCCTCCCTGGAAAGGGGCTAGTCTATATAGGATACAGAAATGGAATCAAGAATTAAGTATCTCTGTTATGAAAAGGCTCTACTACATAGAATGTTTCCAAAATACTTTTTGGATCCTCATAGACAAAAGTTTCTAAAAATCTAAAAGATATGAACCTAGAGAAACAGTTATACACTACCAGTGCTCACAAAAATCATGTTGCTAAATTCTTAATGTGTTCTTTCCTACCTAACTCTCCAGGATTTTCCCAGGAAAGCTAGAAAGCTTTCTAGCTTTCCTCAATGGCTTTCTGCTAAAGGAACCTGGAAAGTCAACTCAGTACCTGGAATGTATTTTCACGCAAAATACCACCACTGAACTGCTGTGCGGAGGCCGAGCGGCGTCTGTCCACGCTGGGTCCTGCTTACAAAGGCAGCAGCCGGTGGGAGAAACCTTCAGCAAGGCCAGAGAGACCCTTCCAGGACTGAGAGATTAAACTGTGCCCCATGCTGGCCTCTCTGCCTCTAGTTTTTGTTGTGCTCCACTATGCGGCTACATCGGATGCTGGAGAAGAAGGGGTACGAGCCTGTCAGGAGCAAAATGCAAAGAAAAACAACCTACTCTAATACTGCATTTCATCCTGACCTCTATCATGTCAAGCCTGATGGATAAAGGCAATATTACTTCCAAGCAGTTATCCTGAATCTGGTTCTTCTGGAAACACACAGAATGGCCCACCTCTTGTTCCATTTTGATAACATTTTGCCCCCAATGTCTTCCTACCCAAGTGAGTTCGGCAGTTAAACTACTGTTTGAAGGCTTTCTTTAGCTCTTTCACTTTATTTCATTGACTGCCCCTTTGTTCTTGCTATGAGACAGTGAAAAGTTCCTGACCAAACTTATCTGTCATTTCTTTTTATTCATCTCCTTTCAAAGATAAACCATCACATTTTTTTCCCCATTACTCTTCCTGTGGGGTTTTTTACATAAGGCTTTGTCCTATCACCCGTCTCTGAACTTCCTCTCATTCTTCAATACTCTTCCTGAGATGGACTAATACTGTACCCAACATTTGCAGGTGAAACAACACACTCCATCTAAGCGTAAACATAACCATTTTCTTTATATTTCCTGTAGTACTACCCGTATGCAGCCTGATGCAAACTCCACAGCTGCACATTGAGGAGAATTAGAACCCTTGTAACAGGGAAAAGAACTCCCCCTAGTAACACTTAACATATATGTAAGACATTAAAGCACCCATCCCACTGCCCATTCATGGGGCACATTGAGGTCTCACCAAGGAGACCCTCAAGGCCCTCTCGTCCCGACTCCTCACTCCCTCTCTCCACTTTTCTCCTTACTGTGTTATGTAGGAGGGGGCTCAGTGTAAGACCCTGATGCGCTGGCTATTGGCCGCTAATGGAAATTGGTTAATTTTGCTTCTTCACTGTTCAAAAAGTTTTGAATCAAGACATCACTTTGTTTCTCTTTGGAGGCCTATTACATACCAAAGGTCTTCAGAAAGCCTGGGCAAATTGTCAACATCCTTATCCACTAGTCCTTTACGGATCATGCAAAGAACTTTATGAGAGCAGGGAGACATGATTTTCCTTTCAGAAAAAATGCAGTTAGAACCTCCTAAATCTTCCTATCCCAAGTGTTTTACTGCTTACTCCTAATTACTGTTTCAATCAATTTCTCAAACGTGCACATAGAATTTATTGGTCTTTAAATCTTTGAATCTCATCCAAATCCTTTTAAAATACAGGTAACAACATTTGTTACCCACCAACTGTTCTAATGTTTTCCACTGTAACTCCTAGTTTGTATCACGAACCCTTCTTCAGGCACTACAATTTCAGAGGGCATAATCTTTATTACAGCTAATAACTACTAGTAAAAGTAATATGACTAAAAGCTTACTGTTTCTAAAAACAGAAATTTCAATAAAGTTTATAGATAAATTTCCTTCTGATTAATATTCCAAATACAATAGCACCTGGTTAGCCTATAAGATACAGGAAAGAAGAAAGACTGAAAGTCAGAACCAAGGAAAACATGAGTTAAATCAACAAAAATAATCCATAAAAAATAAATGTTGTTTAAGTGTTCTTCCCATTTTAATAACCCAAGATATTATTGGTGTCACAGCTAAAGACTGTACACATATTTGTAATTCAAATACATGTGTGTACGTATAATTAAAATTTATGTTTCTTAACTTGGCAGTGTCCTCTTCATAGTGATTAAATTAACATGGTTGTTTCTGTTTAGCAGCTTAGTGCATGAACCTCTCTATTTATCATGGTCCTTAGTCTTCAGTGGTAGAATGTGAGCAATAATCCACACCAGCTTCATTCCAATATCTGCTTTTTATTGAACTGCTGCCTCCAAAAGAGTCACATTTGCCCAGACCCTGCAAAATATTGGGCTT